TATATTATACTTATCATAAGGTACATATTCGCTATATTGATTTTATTTATTTGTAATTAGAATATAATTTGATTGAATTAGTTGCTTTGTTTTTAAAATGCTATAATTAATTAATTGAAGATGACTAGAGATGACAGTCATAATGCAGTATTTAATTAATTTGAATTAAATGTATAAAAAAAAATTTAAACTAGTATGTATTGTTTTTTAAAATTTAAATAGAACAAAATATGTGGAAATAATAATGTGAAGGCTTTATAAGCTATTTTTCTTCGCTGGTAAATAACATACATATTCAAAGCATATGATTATATAAAAATATGTCTAAGTACTTACTCAAAATGATTATCAGTGACTTTCTCAATATTTGCGGCTGCTTGTATTTTGACAATTTTTAAGTCAAAATCTATGTTGTCGTACCATAATGGTCCTCTTAAACTAAATATGGGACGACCTTCAGGTGGTATCATTAATTTCGACACAAGTGTTAGGAAATTATATGTATACGCAGAAGGTTTTGTATAACAATCATCACCCTCGCATATATGACTAGTTTGTCGGCAACGGCTATAAAATTTATATTATTGTTATTGGTATTGTGAATAAAATAAACAAAAGAAGAACAAATGACTTACTTTTTCTGATCTGGATCATTAATATAGCCATAAGGACAATGAATAGTGGTGCATTTATAACTACCCCGTATATTTGTACAAATATCATTTCTTCCCGTACAAAATTCTCCAGTAGCGCATTCGTCTATATCTCGGCAAGTGTTCCTATCAATTGCAAGTACGTAACCACGGGGACATGTGCATTCATATGAACCTGGGACATTGTTACAAAAACCCATGCAAGGCTTATAAACTTTGTGAATTTCACATTCGTCAACATCGTTACATGTCCGATTATCGGAACTAAGTTCGTAACCCGAATTACAAGAGCAGCGGTAGCCACCCCAAAAATTTACACATTTTTGTTGACAAAGACCTGATATTTCCTGGCATTCATCCACATCAAGGCAAATACGGTCATTATCTCTGCTCTTTTGAAATCCAGTTTTGCATTCACAATAATAGGATCCAATCGTATTTATACACTGTGCGTTTGTAGGGCAAGTAGAGGGTTCCCGATCACATTCATTGATATCAATACAACGACTTACACCATTAACAACACTTTTATGATGTCCTCCAGGACATGAGCAAATAAAGCCTCCAATGCGATTGGTGCATATTTCATTTTCCTCGCAGTTATGGGATCGAGTTTCACATTCATCGATGTCTAACCTCATTTCAAAGATAACTTGTTTTAAACATATTTATTTGTTAATACAAACATTCATTACCAATGCATGTGATACCGTTTGGAGCTGGCATGTACCCCGCTAAGCATTTTGAAAGATTTTGACAACGGTAGGAACCATTCGTATTAATGCAATGTTGATGTGAACCGCATGGACTTTCAACGAGACACTCGTTTATATCTTTTTAAAAAAAATATTAATATTTGTATTAAAAATGCAGCAAATATAATATTTATGCTTATAGATCTATCAGTTAATAATAGAAAAAAATATGTTGTATTTAAAAAAAGGGTGGCAACATTAAACATAAAAACCAAACATACGACTTCTTGCGGGAAAAACAAAATGCAACAACAAAATTCCGTGTGCATTGTATTGCATTACTTACTTATTACTACTTGCATCTTCACTGCGCATCGATTGGTATAGAAAAGTTATGGTATATAATTCTTAATTTTACAAAAAAATTTAGTGAAGGTAAAAGATTTATATAATGAAATAAATAAATCAAAGCTATAAATAGCGTTTTCATTGTATGTGCATTAATTCTGGAGCAGGTGTTGGATATTCCAACCAGAGTCAGCACATCGCACGATGTATGCGTTAACCAAGAATAGCTGAAAAACAACGTTCCGTGCTTTGTTCCATTAACACACTGGCCATTGTGTTCACCTGATAGTAACCCTTTAGATTTCTCGGTGTGGGGTATTTTAAAAAGTAAGGTTGGTACTAAAAAATACCAAAATGTCGATCGTCTAAAGCAAGCGCTAAGCCGAGAACAGGCCAAAATACCTCAAAGTCACTTGGATGCAGCGTACGATAGCTTTATTGGCCATTTGAATGCCATAATTCATGCTAGAAATGGCCATATTGAACCAAAATAAAGATTGAAATTTATTTTCACATATTTTTATTTATCTTTTATTTAATTTAACAAAAATAAACAAAATAAAGAGTTTTATTTTGTTGCAATTTTCCTTAGCCATCCGGTATTGGTCCCCAAACGACAAAAACTATTTTCTTTCACCCATGAAAAATACTGAAGATCTCAGAAGTTAAGCAAAAATTTTATTCAACTTACAACACCAAATACTGTTTTTCTCAATTATATTCAACTAGGTACTAATTTCGAAGAAATGCTTCTTACTTCAAGGTACAATCGTAACGTATTGTAAAATCAACATCAGTAGTAACTTCATTTATTTGGCACCTATAAATCCAGAGAAAACAAATTAGTGTACCAGTCATTGCTTACTCGTGGTATAATCAAAGAAATTAATCTCCGAGGTCATGTGTAGTAGTACCAGAACCCTATCACTTCTAGACAATAATTTTATAATCGCAAAGGGAGGATATAAACAGTAAATAAAATGCATTATCAGAAAACGCATTGGAGTATCTGACTTAGAACATTCGTTTAGCTACCCGCAACAAATTCCAATGTACAACTTCGAGTTCACCAAGAGCGAAGGCATGCAAAAACATAGCAATATACTTGTTTGACCTATGAATAAGGAGTCGGAGGGAACAAGGTTCAAGACGCGTCTCAAATAGCTTCTCTAGAGTTAACGTCAACCTCAACCTTCTCGCAGTGTTCCCTGTTTACACTAATGAGGCTCTGGCGACCGAGTGTTCGGCGGGATATCTGAACTCTTCCGTCTGCTATCTAGAGGAAAAGGTAGCTGCACATTGACATCAATGCAGGGTCGGAGTCCAAATGGTGACCGACGAAATTGAAAAGTAGCAGCTCTATCACCGATCTTGGCGGCTATGAGTTAATCACTCGTGGCGACTGAAACACATCAGATTCAAGTGTTCACAAGAAATATAAACCGGTCTGATCAAAACGATACCGACTTAAGGAATGTAAAAAGGACAAGATTTGGACAATGGAATGTGCGAACTCTGTTTCAAGGAAAAATGGCTACGTTAGCCACTGAATGCGATAGGTTTAAAATAGACGTAATTAGCATAAGCGAAGCCAGATGTAATGATACAGGCGAATTTACAAACCAAAAGAGAGGTGTATTAATGTGTTCTGGTATGCCCAACAAGTTTACGTAAGGAAAAATGTCAAGCACTTGATCTTGTGCTGGAAAGCTATATCCGAAAAAATAATAGTAGTACGCTTTCGCGCATAGGAGTTCAATATATCACTAGTGCAATGCTATGCTCCAACAGAAGACAGTCCACTTGACCAAAAAGAAGTTTTTTGCAGTGCGCTAGAAAGAACGCTCTCAGAAACTCCTAGATTCCCATGGCATTGGAGTCCCATGGTATTGAAGGATGTGACGAGAATGATGAGCTGCTTTTGGAACTTTGTATGAATTATGATCTCAGAATTGGAGGATCCCTATTTCCTCATAAAATGTGTCATAAGGTCACTTGAAAGCCTCCCACTGGCAACTTTAAAAGTCAGATTGATCATATCTGCATTTCAAAACGTTGGAGTAAAGTTCTATGTGATGTCAGAAACAAAAGAAGCGGTGATATTGGCAGTGACCACTATTTAGTGATGACCGATCTGAAATTTAATATATCTCAACATAGGTATGAACGCCTGCAGCAAATATGACGCACATATAACATCACAAAGCTAAGGGCTGAAATGGTAAAGAACGAAATGCTTGCACGTATTAACAACGTCAGTTTGCTGCAAGGTTCTTCTATTGAGGACACGTGGCTTCATATTAAAAAAAAACTCGAAGGAATCTGCAAAGATAAACTCGGCTACCATGAAAACGAGCCATAATAATGGATGTCAGCAAGTTCCTGGGAGCTCGTTGCACAAAGAAGGTGCCATAAAACGAAAATATTAAGCGAGGCGGACCCGCTTAAAAAAGTCGAATACAACACAACGTACAGGTCTTAATCTGTCTTAGCAGGCAGTCTTTAATATTAGCTTCGGCCGGTTTTTTATACTTTAAATGAATAGTTTAATTAATACTGATTGTAAATTTGGTAACGCGACTTTTTTAAATACATTATTGTCTAGTCAAATATAAAATAGATATGAATAATCACATTGTCTAAATCTTGAACATATTCTAATCAATTTATTAGTATTGGTGAGACGATTTATTGGTATTTTTGCTAAGAATGGAATTGTTATTTCGTTGATTTCACTAATAACTTCATAAATTTGATCGTGTTTAGTCTTAATTTCGCTAATGATTTTTATTTCTGTTTTGTTTACGGTTAGTTTTATAGATATCATGATTTTAATCTAGAATTTTAACATCGTGATACAGTTGACAGTTTATACGAAAGCGAAAATTTAGAACTGTATTTAGTGTAACTGGTGGGCAATAACTATAACGAAATGTGGCTTGTGTAGATTTAGATTCGTTGGCTTTAATGCACCATTTGTTTAACCACACTATGATCACTGTATTATCAGCAAAGGTTACGGTGTACGTAAATAGATTAAGTGGGAAGTCAACTGTGAATAGTGTGTAGAGGGTTACACTTAGAAGGCTCCTTGTGGCACTCCAGCTTTTATCAGGAAAATTTTCGTATTATAGTCTGGTTGTGATATCCGAATAATTTGGGCTACTCTCCATTGACGTGGATAATATTCTTGACTAATAATAGCATTAAAAAGTTGGTTGATGAATACAGAAACAATGTTTGGTAGCTTTTTCAATACTTTGCCAGTGATCAAATCGTACCCAGAAGCCTTTTTGGTTTAATTTTGGTGTTAATTGTCCATTTAATTTCTTGTATTGTGGTTTTTGGGACGGAAAAATTCATTTGATGCGGTGTTTGCAAGAAAGACTCAATTTCAGCGTCGTTTTCGTGATTTCTGAATGGGTATGGTGAAAAAACACCTTGGAGATGATATGTAAAAGTTTAAAACCTTATCAATTCTGGATCTAGTCCCCTGTCAATTATATATTTTGAGTGGTACAACAAATGGCGTTGGTTCTTTTAGTTTTCGAGTGATCCACCATAACGAATAGTCTGTTGCTTCACCGCATAGTATAGCAACCATTCTTTATTTTGATATGTGTTATTTTTTCGGACAATTAAAAAATGTCCGATTCATCGTTATAACATAAAATAGGATACGAAAACAAAACGATGGTCGAAGTCAAGATGATGTATATTATGAAGCTTATATCATCTCCTATATTTAAAACTAAGGCTAATAAGCCATCGTCTTGGACAGAATTGTCCACATAATACATATAATACAGAAAAGGCTTTGGGATGTAGTACTGCCGATAACAATATTAAATATATGAATAATTTTGTATCTAAACAAATACAATATAAATTCAAAACAATCTGCAAATTGTTTTTATAAGAAAACCAACTTTGTTTTTCATGTCTCTTACCTACGCAAGCACCCATCTGATTACGATAAAAACCTATTGTGCATGGCAAAGATTTTCTACTGTCAACATACATAGGAGTATGAATGTGATAACTTTTATTAGAGTACGACATTATCTGCGGATTGTTTAAACTTTTGTCAATAGATGTATGTGGAGTTGGAACTGATATTGTTGTAGACACTGTAGCTGTACTTAAAGATGTTACTGTTGTACTAGTACTATATCTTGTCGGTATATGTCGGCGATAGCAACGAAATGATCCTTTGGTGTTATAACACATGTAGTCAGGTGTACAATTGTGTGTATTTAATGCACACTCATCATCATCTAGAATGCGTTATATATTAATTATGAAAATTAAAACATTATGACTTACCATCACAGGAACCAGTTTCAGCGTTCAAAGTGTATCCAGTTCCACAGCTCTGTAACCGCGTACAAATATAAGATCCGACAGTGTTATCGCATCTTTGAGATGGTAAGCAATTATGATTGTTAATTGAACACTCATTAATATCTGGAATTATTAACAAAAACAACGAAGGATTTTAGTTTGCACAAAAAACAAATGGCTTTCATGAAGACTACTTAACTAACCTACGCAGGCATTGGTGGTTGTATCTAAGTTGAATCCGATATTACAGTCGCAGTGGTAGCTTCCAATAATATTAACACAATTTTGATTTCGATCGCATGTATCCTTATCCATTAAACATTCGTCAATATCTACACAAGAACCATACTTATAATTAGATTCAATATTGCATGGCTTCTCTCGAAAGATGGTGAACTGGCTTATGAGAATTATTATTACAAACATAACGGCCAGGATAATTAACACAAATCTTACTATCCTGAGTTTCACAGAGAAAGTTATCGCATTCATTATAATCCACATAAAATATTTCAAGTTTAAAACAGGATTGACATTTTAAAAAGTATGTGTTGTAATGCAATCCAGATTGAAATTTTATACTCGTAGAGCATAAAATATCATTTATAATAAAACTTACTATTTAAACTGAAACGTGACATTTAGTAATTGTTAAGCGGAGTGCTTATTCTTTTCTATCTATCAATTAAAATATAATTATGAAATACGGTGTACTCTTGTTTTTTACTAATCTTTAAATTCGTACTAAAATTGTATTAAATGAAATCATTTAAAATTAGGTTTTGTGAACTATACAAAATATTGTAAAATACTACTAAACTAATCTCCAAAGATAAATATTCTAAAACTTTACCTTCAAAGTTTAGTACAGAAATTTAAAATACATAAAAGCTTTATTTTCCAATCCGTATTTTTTTGTTTTTTTGCTATTTTTGATTGTTTAATAAGCCTTGTCCAACCACGAGGTAAACTCAAAATCATTATGTTAACAATATATAATGCTCTTCTACTATTATAAATTTTTATAAATTTTGGAGACATCTTTTAACTGCCCACTTCGAAAAATGGAAAGTATGTGTTTTTTTTTGAAAACATCATATAACAGATTTTTTCTCGATCTGTCAAATTTTGTTGCCCAATTGAACGTTTTTAAAGTAATATAAAATATTTTGTGTTAGCAAGTTTTTGACAAGTCACATACATAACGTGCAATAACAAGCAAATAATAAGTCGGTTGAAATGAATGACGTAATTAAATACGCTGTTGACACTTTTAGTAAATGAAGTGATATGGTATGTATATTATAAACGAACCCATCATGGTTAGGGTTAGGTTAAGAAGGCGCGTGCTGACAATTATCAGCACTTCCACTCGGAGGCATATATTGCCCATTGTGATGCCCTCAAAGATTATGCCGGGTGAGTCGAATTGCTTACCTTTGTTATCTTCTATCCATGTTAAACCATTTGGTTTTCCAGATGAAGTTAACAAGATCCAAAAAGTTTGCTTTCATTATCTTTTCCAGGCCAGTGAAAAAGCGATTCTCAAGACATTGAAGTCGCGTTGTCTCCAGTCCTGAACACAGAAAGTAGTTGATGGGTTCTACCTCCTCCTTATCTTGGCAACTCCTGCACAATCCACTAGTTGAAACTCGCCACTGTTGAAGCATAGGCGCAATGGCACACTGCCCCGTTAAAACGAAGACGTCTTACAAATTTAATGGCTAAAATGGCCTCGAAAATGGCTAAAAGAAGGCACCAAACGTAAAATCGATCTGCACATTGTATACCAATAATAAAAAAACAATGTGGAAAACTATCGCTGAAATTCAGAGAGACTTACACCGGCACATAGGTAGAAAGCCGTTACAAGTGCATAATCCGTAGGCAAAAAGGGCGGAAGGAAACTATTTAAAAAGTGGAGTTGCATTCATAGAAACGCTGTATGTGACTAAATGCGATCAATTATGGCGCAAAATTTCTCGGTGTGTCTTGAAACAACAGTAGAGTTTTACAAAAATCTGTCATGTTTAATTCAAGTTTTTCCCCGATTCCATCACGTTTCAGAAAAAGATATTATGCTGCTAAAAAAGTTTTTTGAAAAATAAATTTGTTGTATCTGCCTCATATAGAAGAAGAAATATATCTGCCTTAATTATATTTATGTGAAGCTAAATTTTAATAATTTTGAATATAATTCTAAAATTAACTAAATTTTTGTTCTTATCTTTTCTTTGCTATTCCAACCCGTCTAACTTTTAAATAGTTTCTTTTCATAAAAACGCAAGAAAAAATTAAAATTATTAGTTCTAAAATGTTTTAACTACTTTATCTCGTTCACGTATGTGCTACAACACATCTGTAACTACCTTTGCACAATCAACATTTTCTGTTCAAATATACTTCTTCGTAATGCAATGGTTGTGAAATACTCAACAGCGAAACAAGAAATTACACAATTATTCCGTAAGAAAAATTCAAATGGCTTAACTGTCGCTATCGTCGGTTCTGCAATGGGAAAGCGAAAGCAATTGTATCACGACATTAAATGTGTTTTTTATAAAATGTTTTTTGTTGTTGGAAGAACGAATATCCTTAGATATAGATGATAGTTTGTTAACTCGAATATCATGGCTTTTACTAGGTGATCTAACGAATTTACGTACAACTAAATATTTTTTAGCATTACAAATACCAAAAAAAAAGAACGAGAAGTTAAAAAAACACGCAAAATTTTAATTTTTAATAATTTTCTTTAATATCGCCTTCAAAATGCTCTCCTTCTGCGGCAATACATGCATGCCGTCGCTTGATCCAATTTTCCATACAAGTTTTATAGGTCGCCGAAGGTATGGCCTTTAGTTTACGCAGCGAATTCTCTTTTATGGCCTTTATGGTCTCAAAACGCGTCTACCATATGGTCCTCGCAATGGCAATTTGAATCGGGGAAAGAGGAAAAAGTGACACGGGGCCAAATCTGGAGCGTACGGTGCTTGGTTGATGATATTGGTGTATTGGTGGAGTTTCTGGCCAAAAACTGCGACACAACCAACGCTGTGTGAGCCGGTGCGTTATCGTGGTGTAAAATCCATGAATTTTCCTTCCCTAAATCTGGCCTCTTTTTGCGAATAGCCTCACGCAAACGACACATAACGTCCAAATAATACTCCTTATTGACCGTTTCACCATTTGATCGTCCGGAAGGAATTTATAGTGCCCCACACCACGAATATCGAAGAAAACAGTCAGCATAACCTTGATTTTGGACCGACTTTGGAGTTCTCTTTTCGGTTTCGGCTCACCTTCGAAGCACCATTCGGTTGATTGTTGTTTGGTGGGCATGTCAAATTCATAGACCCATGTCTCATCATCAGTTATGATGCGTTCTATGAATGTGGGGTCACTATCTGCGTTGGAAATCATCTCTGTGGCCACATCACAACGATGCCTTTTTTGAATGAAATTCAGTTTTTTTTGCCACCAGCTGAGAAGCGACGCGTTTCAAACCCAAAATATCTGTCTCTCATTGGCACTGAGACAGCCGACAGGGAACTGACAATTAACCCCACTCACTTAGAAGAACTTTTTCCCACAGTTTGGATTACATTTAGCATCCAGCGACTACGACCTGCACTTAGATCTTAGACAATGAATTTAACATAGACGCTTACTTTGAGAATTAAGAAATATTAGATAGATGTTGAAATGGCAAATTGCTGTTGAGGTAGGTTATATTGATGAATAGAAAACATATATATAATAGAAAACATCGATTATACATTAACTATTAACTAATTAAATGAATGCCTTGCAGAAATGTGCACTATACCGTGTACATATACGAAGAATGACGTATTAGATATGACAGTCTTAAATTAAAGAATTTATTTCATAATATACTACGTTACCCTTTAAATTATACGTAATAAATAATTTGACTCAGATTGCATGACATGCATTAATTAAAATAACTTTGTGGGAATAATATTATATATGTTTCCATATTTTTAATCTAATGATAGGCATTAAGCAGAAAAAAGTTTTAGCGACTGCAATATAATACCTGAGTTTTGATTTTAATGAATGATAGCTATAACTTTCTCTTAAAAATCTTTTTGTTATGGTTATCGTGAATATATAACTTTAAAATAGAAAATTATGAAAGTATATACTTAAAAATAATTACACTTACCATCACATGTTTTGGTTTCCGAGTTGTAAATATAACCAGAATCGCAAGTTTTCGGTTTTATATTCAAACATCGGTAACTACCAATAGTGTTGTGGCAATATTGATTGTGTTTACATATATCTAAATCGATATTACATTCATCAACATCGACACATATATTTTTAAGAATGTCTCTCTTATATCCCACTGGACATTGATTAATGCCATTTAATATAATTGAGTCATTTTCATCTTCTAGCTGTTCATCGCCCTCATCCTCATCAAGGTCATATCCGGAGTCTAACTTACCTTCTTCAACAGCAAATGTCTCATTCACAAACGTTTTGTTTAAAGAACAAGTAACATTATTAGAATCTAGGATATAACCTGGATTACATTTACACTGATAAGCTTCTCTTGTATTTACGCAAATTTGGGCACATAAATTTTTCACTTTTCCACAGATATCATCTAAAAATTAAGAAAAAATAAAAAAGTACATTATTTTAAACCAAGACATGACAGAACAATATTAAATAATTTCATTACCGTCGTCATCCTCTAAAACAATTATCCCATCATCTTTTTTGTTGTTTTTGTTACTATCAAGAGGTTCTACGTCTGACTTAATATTATCTTTCATTTCTACATCATCAGTATGATCTGTATATTCCACAATTTTGCTTTCGGATATACTGGACTCATTGTTTTGATTATTGTTGCAGCAAATTCTGTATGATTCAATGTCATTGAAATACGAAAATAACGTGTTATTGCAGTTCTTTTCACTTGCTTTGACTGCTAAGCCGACTTGACAAGCGCGACAGCAATGTACATAATTTGTTGTGTTAAATCCGTTATTACATCGAGAACCAGTTAATGCCGCTAATCGACCTGCTTCACACAGCTGTTTATCAATTTCCATAGCGCAACATAAGCCATAAGTTGATATACATAAACCTTTCCATAAGGGGGCAATAGCGGATACTTCAAATTCCTTGTTTGTACAATCCACATGAAGTTTTGCATGGCGAAGCCCACTTAGGCAACATTTTCTTATGTAATTCGATATGTCCTCTGTATAAAATTTATGTTTATTATTTCTCTATCTTGTAACCAATGCTTTTATATATTATTAATGTATTTACTAATAAAAGAAATTGTTTAAAATTATAAATTAATACAAAATTAGCATTTTTAGTATTAATTTAAAATCATATAAAAATTTAAAATCGTGAAGAGTGTTCACCCTTAAAGTACGATTAATCGAGTAATGATGGCTTGTTCCGAAAACAAAAAGAACTAACTACATAGGCAGGGTATGGATTTCTTTAAAAAATTATTAATGACTTCAATAAGTAAGAAATTAGCATTTTTAGTATTAATTTAAAATCATATAAAAATTTAAAATCGTGAAGAGTGTTCACCCTTAAAGTACGATTAATCGAGTAATGATGGCTTGTTCCGAAAACAAAAAGAACTAACTACATAGGCAGGGTATGGATTTCTTTAAAAAATTATTAATGACTTCAATAAGTAAGAAATTAGCATTTTTAGTATTAATTTAAAATCATATAAAAATTTAAAATTGTGAAGAGTGTTCACCCTTAAAGTACGATTAATCGAGTAATGATGGCTTGTTCAGAAAACAAAAAGAACTAACTGCATAGGCAGGGTATGGATTTCTTTAAAAAATTATTAAATAGATACCAATCCCATCAAATTTCTAAGATTGCAATATTGCTTAAGCGCGTAGCAAATATTACTATTCGCAGCACTTGTTCAATTATAGTGCGTTTAACTCTGACATCAAACTAATGTTCTGGGATGACTTCAATAAGTAAGAGTATTCGCATTATCTTTGGTATTAATAGACCGTTAAACATTTTTGATGATATGGGTAGGAGGACAAGCAGTTTGTAAAATGCTGTCCAAAGCTAAAGTAAGGGCCAGTAAGATAGAATTTAACAAATATTTGAGATGATAATGTCACAATATGGTAACTGTTGCATCATTATAACTGAGCTATTTCGTCACTTAAAACGATCAAGATGTTATTTCATTACAACAGCCAATATTACAGTTATCAGACTAAAAACAGGCCACAATTATAATGATGTTACAATAGACCAATAAAAAGAAGAATTATATCCAATGGAACACTTTAGTGTTACTAACAAACTTATGAAAATGAAGAAAATGAGGAAATCCTTATACGAATAATAGCAACATAGAATTCCTTTAACTCGCTTATATGACGTTTAAAATATCATTCATTTTTCCACATACGATTTGAGAAGGCTCAGTCTAGACTATAGATGTTGTTAATGGGACAACAAGAAACTACTATACAGTTATTCTATTCTAAATAGAATTATGAGCATTTTGTTTTGCAATAATATATATTATGTGTTATATTTTATGGATTATTTTAAATTAAGTTAATTTCTTTATAAATTTTTGATATTTTGTATTTAGGCATTTGTTTCATATTTACAAGTATTGTGACTGTTAACAATAGGTTAGTACATAACACATGAACTTAGTTCAGAATTAATATTTAATATCACTACTTTTTTTATTCTCTTTATATTAGTGAACACAATCAATACCGGTAATTTATTAGAATAAGTTAGTTAATCCTAATATAGTGCACTCATTATTACAACAAATAATCTAGACAATTATTACATTAAATTGATTTAAATTTGAACCTACGAATCAAAACAGATGCGAACATCCAGATGTGGTGACACCAGCCAACATCCTTCTGGCTCGACAAATTTCAGCACAATTTGGTGAATAAATTCCAGCATAGTCCTTCCAGCAGTTTCGGCAAATAAAGACCAAGCTCTGTCGAGTGCAACGACATGTGAATTCAAATTAATTGAAAATTGCGATTAGTAAACAAAAATTTAAATCGGGCATGAGCAGTAAGATATTAATCCTAGAAATTAAATGCATTCATACAACTGTCTATCATGTGCAACCAAACGGCATTAGATGGTTCTAATAACTGGACGCAATTCTTTCCTTTAGTATAACTGGGACTCCGAAACTCCAAACACGTTTTTACGTTATAGGACGACGAAGCATAATTTTAAATTAAATTCAGGAAAGTGTTATTTTTTAAAACTAGCAAACTTACAAACTTACTGAGAACGCCGTCAGTATTAAACATTGATGATGTCAGAATATACGCTGCGTTTAGTAATTATTGCAGACGATTTAAATGTAATTTGAATTAAATAGAAAAATAAAAAAAATCAAAATTTAAATGGACTGTAAAAAGCAAAATTGCATTTAACACTCTTCAAAACCTATAAATACTAGGGTATTCAAATTTTAATATATCATATATTGTATTTACTGATATATCATATTTTACATTACATTACGTTAGATTTTATGCCGCACATTCCCAGGAAAGATAGGTTGAGATTTTTTAACATTGGCAAGCAGATTGGATTTTTTGATTTTTTGATTTTTATTTATCCTTAATGCTATTCGTTAACGCTACCTTAAAACTACACAAAGATATATCTGTCAAACTGATATACGTGAACCAACTACGTGAAATTCAAACCAATGACAAAATGCATTCGGCAAGCAGTGGACTAACCTCTGGCCAAAGCTTTCGCGACGACAAGAAAACTACTGGCTTTAGTGGTGTGGGTACCAAATGGTACTTGCGCTATCTCAAAGAAGGCTCAATGCCTGAGGCGGCTAAGGAAAAAGATCTCAATCGACCGAAGTACAGTCAAGACTGCAAGAAGAAGCCTGCTCAAGAAATTATTTCGATCGATATTCAATCGGACAAGAAAAGAACAGGGAATGACACACCTCTACAAGTAAAGGGAGTTAAGTAAAGGACGCACCAAAACTACCGAAGAAAACAATATCGGGCAGCAGTTAAGCCAGTGTAGCCAGAAACTTAAGAATAGCCATTCTTCCCTGAAATAACTCTCTTGAAAGATGAGCAAGGTAGGATCGAAAAACTCCGCATTGAGAAGATGTATAAAGAATGGGTTTCTAAGATGCGATTTAGAGGGATAGACTTTCGGTCACGACTCATACTGGTTGACTGTGTAGACTTAGAGGTTTTGGCCACAGGACGACACCACTTAGACGGATGTCAAGGAGTTGAGCTCACAACGTGCAAAGAGGACAATATACCGAGTTTACAGCGATGGTCTGGCAAAAGAATTGAAAAAAAAAACCATTTGATGACCAACACTAAAATCGTCCAAAACAAATATCTACCATGCAAAAGTTGCATCGGCAGTTATTGCAAGGGCATTGCTCAAATCGAACTTGACCAGAGTGCTGGTCTAAGAAGCCTGGATTTACAGAGGTCGGTTCTGCAGTTTGAATGTAAGCAATATGCAGACAATTTGGGATGAAAGATGTTTTTCTATGTCTGACCATAGAATCCTAAGGTTCGACATTGAAGGCTCATCAATTAACAAGAAAATCCTAAGGAACCCAAGAAAAACAAATTGGGAAGCGTAACGGAGTATCTGAAGAACCTCAGATAAAGCTTGATTAATTACACCAAAAATGTGCCTTGCTGTAACAATGACCTAAAAAACACTGTTAGAGGATTATTTAACTACTCAAAGCGAACAGGAGATTGTTCAGAATATAGGCAACATCTTACTCTGTTTAATAGAGAGATTAGAGTCCCAAAACGCAGAAGCTTCCAAAAATTCTGCGAAAGCATAGAAAACACAACGGAGGTGTCAAGACTCTGCAAGGAGCTTTCAATGGGCAGTAGCCTTACTTCCACCTTGAGAAGATTGGCGAGAAGATGAAACTTTCACCGAAGATGAAGAGAAAAAGATAAGACTACTTCTGAACATACATTTCCCAGGATCCTCTCCGACTCTAGGAACAGAATTAGGATACACTAAACTCCCTAGGACAATAAAAAAGGAAGATTGGAAGACTGCCAAAGATATAATCATAATGCCTAGAATCAGGTGGGAATTACCTCGCTCAAGCTACTGAAATCTTCAGGTACTGATGGTGTCTTTCCGGCACTACTCCAAAAAGGAATTGAACAGATACTAGATCCAATGCGAGTATTGCATTGGGCCATATACCAACTATGTGGAGGAGGGTAAAAGTGGTCCTTAATTCGAAGCCGGGTAAGAGGGATCCGACTCGCAGGAAATCCTTCAGACCAATCTGCCTTACATTCTTCCAACTTAAATTAGTATAAAAAGTCGTGGATAACATATTAAGAATACTACACTGAAAGAAATTCCACTATACAACTGCCAACATGTCTATAGGGCAGGTCAGTTGATAGAAACGGCCCTGCATCAACAAAGTAATACGATTCAGGACAGCATGGATAAGAAAGAAACAGCAATTTGCGCTTTCTTAGATATTGAAGGAGCGTTTGATAACACTTCACATGAGGTCATAAACTCAATTCTTTGTAGAAGAGGAATCAATGGCACACTTTCACACTTTTGCTGATAAACACGAGAGTAGAAATTCCGACCAATAATGGTAATGTTTTTGCAAACAGTATTGTCATCACTAATGTGGAGTATGATAGTAAATGAGCTATTGGTAAGACTAGATAGGAATGGCTTCCAAATCCAGGGTTGCGCAGATGATGTGGTAATAATCTGCAGAACTCAGACATACTCTGTGCGAGAAAATCCAGTTAGACCTAAAACTAACAAAAGAATGGTGCAATTCGGTTGGGCTGAAAATAAATCCAGCAAAAACAACCATTGTGCCATTTACGAAAAAATACAAAGTAAAACATCTTAAACCCATCCCTTTGGATGGGTTAGAAATAAAACCGCAAAAGGAGGTAAAATTTTTGGGTATAACCTTTGATTAAAAATTACTATGGAAATTTCACATCCAAAAAGTGATAAAAAAGGCAACCAAAGCCTTTATGACAAGTAAATTCATCGCAGGTAAGAATTCGAGGTGTACACCAAAGTCACTGCGATAGATGGATACACAACAATAATCAGACGTATGGTCACTTACGGATCAATAGTCTGTCAGAATTGCAAAGCGTTATCAATACACTCAACAAGTTACCGTGA